CAAAGCCACAAGATGTTCATAGAAATTAACCTATTGAGCCAATGCAACCCCTCCTGCAAGTTTTTGCCATGTTTCCCAGCTGTTTCAATACCAAGCAACCCTTGCAAAGTACAGAAGCCAATCAAGGCTACATCAACCTGAGGAAAACAAGAGCTGCCACATTTAGAACCCTCCGTGTGAAACAGTGCAAGATAAACCAGGCCATCCATGGCTGATCTATGCAAGAAGTCTCGAACCAAGCTAAAAGCATGACAATTTAAAGGCAACAACAACAAAAATCCAGTCCCCCCATCCAAAGCTTACTTCTCCAGTTTTTAAGCTCACTGAAGACAGCTGACAAATGCTTATTTTCTTCAACACATTTCCAGATTTTTTCCTTCAGCTTTGGGCGCTGTATTTGTAGTGCTTTCAGCAGTGGTCTCACAGCTCATCGCTCTCAGCACAAGACTCAGATTCACTTTTTGCCCTTGGAGGGCAGTCAGACACTGTAGGTCAGGTGTGAGTCTACTGAAACATAGATACTGGCTCAGAGCTGGCAGCCCATTTGCACCCACTGAAGACAACAAAACTTGCCTTATAATAAGATGTTAAAGAATAAGCACCATTAGAGATGTTCTCATTGATGGGGTTTCAGATATTATTTGACTGCTGTTTCAAAGCGAACTTTCTGAAAGCTGGTTTATTAAATATTAGGACAAATCCTAAGCAGCCTTTTTTATTATGATTATGTATCTCAACAGACCTGCATCTCTGGGCTAGGGGATGAAAGCAACGTCAGGCACTTCATTTCTGCAAAGCGCTTCCTTCCTCACATGAAAGACACTTTGTCAAACAAACTAACTTCAAGTCTTTGACTTCAGGTAACTGTTGTTCATCAAAAAAAAGAAATCATCCACTGACTTCAGAGCAGCCCTAATGAATGCGGGCTTCAGGATGTCACCTTTCTGGAATAGTTTTTAAAAACAAAGCCAGCTCCTGAGAGGCAGCAAATACCTACAGCTAATTTCTAGAAGCTTTGCAGGACCTTTGCTGCTTCTGGGATCTAGCCCGTGGACAACAGGATTAGGAACAGCCCTTTTGTTAACATGGCCGAGTCTTGCCTCAAGGATGTATGTGTGTGAACTCCAACACCTCTATTTCTTATGAACATTAAAAAAATGAAGCCCTTAAATAGCATCCTGCACACCTGAGTCCCTGTGGGCTTAGCGGCAATCTGCAATAGCAGAACCTTCCCCTGATGTGGGGCAGGTCTGGGACGAAGAAGAGGTGCCCATTCTTTCTTCTCACCATACCAACTTACTGCAGTACAAAACGAGGGTTTTTTTTTTCCTTTTAACCTCCAGAAGGCAGCACATCATGTCCCCCAAAGCCACCAGCAGACCACACTGCACCCAGAACACATACAAGCACTCGGTACGGAGCTGGAGGCAGTGGCTATTCAGTACAGGAGGCTCAGTGTCAAAAGCAGCACGTGGACGTTCAGCAAGCAGCTCGCACTGTGCCAACAGCAGGCTGGCTACTAAGCTCCCACACCTCTTTAAGAATGTTTCCTCTGTCTTTTAACAGACGTTTGCACAAATCTACTCGGAAACTGAGTCCAGGCAAGCAAAGCTTTAGCTGGGAAAAAGTCTTTGCCGTTACAAAACTGGCCCTGCTCCAGGATGGAGAGCATCTGGCTGCCAGCTGTGCTAAGAGGACAGCAGGCTTAAGGAACAGAGCAGGGAAAAATTGAGAAAGGAGCAGACAGTGCTGAAATCTGTCCTGAAAAGAATACCAGCCTTTCTCTCTGATGTCCAAAACCTTTGCCCTCATGCATTCCCCATCCTTTTCCCAGCTCTGAAGCTTGCTCTTGGGAAATCGCCCATTCGGGAGAACGCAGCTAGCATCTCTGGGCTTGGGAAGGGGTCCAGTGGGGCTCCAGAGTTACAAATTGGGAAGTCTGGAAGCTGGCAGCACATGAGGCATAGTGGAAACGTGAGGAAGTTCTGGAAGCAAAGGGAGACAGAGGGAAAGATCTGCAGTGAGGCAAGGATAGGATGACTGCAAGTCTCAAAGAATACAGCATGGGGCTTGTATAAAAAAGGCACATGGAAAGAACAAAAGCAGCCCTTCACTCTCTGTAGTCTAGGAAATTATTATTAAAAAAGAAAAGGAAAAAAAATCACACGTTTTTCTAAGGATTTTGTTGTTTTTTTTTTTCCATTTTACCTAGAGCAGCTGGAGAAGATTCGAGGCCGTATTTTCCCCTCAAAATTTGGAAATTATAGCAACTTGTGCAAAGACTAAAGAAGCAGAAGGCTATTTATTTTCTAAAGTGGTAACACCATCTCTCTAAAAATTCCTAATAAAATGCTCTGATGGAAAGAGCCGTATCTGATAGGGATGGTGGTCACAGGCACCCACTGAAACTCACACTGCTTTTTAGATTACATTTGCAATAGAGCCCTTCCCCCAGCCCCAGATTAATGGAATGGGGAATCCATGCATGAAACCACATATCACAAAACCAGGAGATTATGAAACAGGCCGGGAGACGGGATCAGAATTGAAATTGATTTTGATGAACTGGGGAAATTGCCCCAATTAAACCAGAACAAATTTAATAAAGACAAGCTGAAAGTGTTAAAACTTGGGAAGGTGGAGTAAACAAACATGCACCTAAAAAAGGGAGCTCCTGGGACAGCAGCTGTAAGTCACTCAGGAATTGTAATGCAAGGTGGATGAAAATCAGCCACGGGATGTAGAAAATATTCTGGGATATATGCTCTATGTAAAACTCATGAGACAGTTTCTGAGCCTTGCTTGTTGCTGTATAAATCCCCCACAGGAGCAGAACATTCTGGGAAGCTGGGAAGACATGAGGGGAAAGACAGCAAAAATCAGAGGCTTAGAAAATATTACCTGAAAGGACTAAGGAAGACTTAAAGTGAGGGAGGTATGATAATTCCTTTCATACGCAGAATAATTCTGTAAAAAGGCCATGGATCATCTGTTCTTGCTCTTGATTGAGGCTGGAAGAAAAAGCGTTTTGATTTGCAGCAAAGAATTTCTGAACAGTCTGTATCAGAAACCTTTCTGATGATGGGTTTGGTGGAGATGGTGGATCGTGCAACAGCTCTGAATGACAGGTCATTGGGGTCCTTTGCTCCTACTGTTTGCTAAAGATCAGCAAAGCAGATCTGGTGGTGGCAGCGGGTGCCACGCTTTGTCAAACCCCAGACTCACAAGAATGCAGAGGAGCACAGGGACACAGCAACATGTGGACCAGCAGTGCTGCACACAGACACTGCAATGTGAGCCTGGAGATGGGCACTGTGCTGCTACAGGAAAACCTCTTATTTTCCCCTGGAGGACCCAAACATGATGTCCATGAAGTTCATGTATAGGCACCAAAGAACGTAGTAAGTCCTTCATCTCTGAAATAAAAACCAGTGGATGTTACCACAGATAGTCTCGATTCAACTTATCAGGAGAACAGCTAGCACAGTTATCAGTATTTCCCTCCCACTAAGTCCAAGGCAGGTTCCTACTCATGCTCAAAAACCATCACCTTCAAGGAGAAGGTATGCACACAGGACGCTATCCCCTTACCAAACACTTATGAATATTTGAGCAGGAAACAGAGGCACAACACTTCTGGCTGCCATTATAACATCCAACACCAGACTGCCTATCAAAAGGTAAGGTACACCTATGTGCTTGTTTCCCAGAAAAAGGTACTCTGCCTATGGACGTATGTGTGTGCAACTCTTGATGACTTCATTGGACGCTACACATGTACCCAAGGGAAAAAATTTAATATCATGATTATTGTCTGAAAAACTTTCCTACTTTAAAGCATGAAGCTGCGGGATGAGGTCTGCTCCTGCCTTGCTATCAATAGCACAAGGGTTGGCTTTCCTTGGATGAGGAGGCACAGTGAATGACAACAAGCACCCTGCATGGTGTTGCTCCATCAGCCACAGTCATGCTTCTCCACTATCACAACCTTCACAAAAAGCTGTCGTTACCTGAATGTTCTCAACAACATCCTGTGTGAACATTTGCTAGGCAGGAAAACAAAAGGTCTAACTGACTGACATGCCGTGTCTCTAAGACATTAGCATCAGTTCAGACATTTTTGTACTTTCTTGCAGAAACTGTACAGGCATTAAAAGACCAAGCACACGGGACGCTCAACACCTCAAGGCATAAAACAGCTTCCTACCATGTGGATAACTAAAGCTGAATCTCTGTTCTCTGAGCATGCCCAAAACCATCAACAAGGAAGAGCACCCCACGTAGATACTTCCACAGAAGAACAAGAGGCTACCATGCACCATCAAAATAAAATTTCTAGAGTCTATGAGCTGGGCACAGCTTCTGAACAGCATGCTAGAAAATAAATACATTAATGTCACTTTGCCACGGAAAAGGCAATATCTCTGCTTGTATCTTGCTGTGATCTTCTCTGTGTTTTAAGTCAAAAGATTCGTGAAAAGCATTATTCAAAGACAGAGCATCAGCGAATGTTGTGGCTAACAACAGGTTGCAAAACAAATGAAGTTTGGACATTAAATCGCACCCTCCATCCCACCTCACCCAAACCCTGCATTGTAGATAACCTATACATTCTCAGGATACAGTGAGAAATCATTCTATAGTACATATTTAATTATAATTTAAAAAAGTCTAAACTCGGACACAATCTCTGATCAGTAGCAAAGTATCGACACATCACTAGAAGAAAGATCTGTTATTATCCCTTCACTGTAACAAACAGAAATCAGCATCTCGAGAAGGTCTCTGGGGGTATCATATCACAACCAACTGCACTGAGTAAAATAATATGCTGATTTTACAAATGGAGTTTGACAAGAAGTAACATTGCATTTGTCTTGGCAAAACGAAGCACGAACAAAACATTTCACAGGTACAGTCACCATGCAAATGCATGTTGAGTTTGTCATTGCTTTTAACCCCAAATCACAAGAAGCATGCAGTTTTCCTGCCCCCCCCAACTACTGTATTAGAGATAGCCTGGGTAATGTACCTCTTTGGTGTAACCATAGCCTGTAGGCAAGATTATACCACTTTAGGAAAGAATACAAGCAAAACTCGATCATATGTGTGTTTACACAATGTACATTTTAACCATTTAAAAAACAAAACATGTTACATAGATTCTCAAACACAACTGTTGAAAATGAAATTTTAAGCTTAAGAAATAGTTTTTAAACTACAAGGCCACCCCATTATTTTTATGAACAATTTAAAAAGTTCCCACCCCTAAAAATCTGCCAGTATGTATATTTCCTCAGTTGTAACAGTCTTACCCACTCTCTTAACACAATCCATCTTTGCTCAACAGCAACAACAGTTCTTACATTTTTTAAGTGTATAATGGACTCCGGGATAGATATAGTTCTTAAATGTGAAACGATGGAACATTTGCCTTAAATGTGTAATTGGTCAATTCAGGTGTTCCATGGCACCACCACTCAGGCAGGGGCTGCTGCTGTTCACTGATGTGAGTTCTGGCTTTTGTTGGCATCTAGCTCCACGACTACACTTTTGTGTTCAGAATTTGGGCACAACACCGATGCACTGGACGCTCTGGTAGGCCTGTTGCTCAGATGCATACAGGAGCTATGTTTTCCATATTCCCTCATCCAAATGAGGCGGAAGCCTCAGCGTAGCACCTTTGGCCAACATGGAACTATTTGGATGTGAAGTAGAATCTATTTTGTGTGTATTCATTTAAGCAACTGCAACAGGAGACTTAACTTGCAGGGTCTTTATTAGAGCGTTACCGTCTTCCTCAGCTTTATACAATGGAGCCCTTTGAAGAAGATAAATGGATTGACTGAATCCTTGTGGCCAACGTCCTCTGTAAGTCCTGTAGTACATTCTGACCAGATGTTTCTCCATTCTTGTCATACAACAGCTGCTTGAAAGCTTCGTTTTCAATGAGGACCATCATATTTTTTAGAAAGTAGCCTTCGCAATAGGAAGATAGTTCTGTGACTCCAAGAAACTACAAGAAGGGAAATTAGAGAAAGATAACCATTCTGATAAAACCTCATCAGCAAGAACAGTGCTAGGATCTGTACATAAACAAACGCACAAGCTGAGCCTTTCATGCTGGCCCAGTTAACACTTACAGATAAGCATGTTGCAGGGGCACAAGTTAATCAAACAGTATTTTATACCAATGATTTTATACCAATGGTTACAAATTCAGTGCTCAGGAGATGAAGCTTTGGTGCCTTAGAAATAGCTATGAGTTTTACCACTGAGTTCACCAGACCCATGATTTCATGCCAGTAGCCACATCCTAAGCCCATAAGTTTGGGAAGAACTACAAGTGACCTTCGAGTTTTGTGAACTCCATCCTTAGCAGGAGTAGGATTCTTGACTGCAGAAGCCTGTTGTGTAAAGTAACAGCTTTGGGGGATCTCTGGAGGAGGAATGGAGGCTAAGTGTGAGCAACCCTTGGATGTGTGAGCTCAACTGTGTGAGCAAACCACAATGACCCATACTGGCCATTTGATGGGTGACTCATAGTGGTTATCACCCACTGGTTAGTTCCTGCAGTCACACAAGCACTACAGCCATGATACATAGGAATTTAAGCTATGTGAGTGTACAGAGCACAGCTCAGCACATCCTCCTGCGCAGGTAAGCTCCTGCTGAGTCTGAGCTCTGAGAAAAGCATGAATCTTTGGCTCTGGGGTGCATCTGTGAGGCTAGGACTGCTGGGAAATTTCATAGCTTTGGGTCCAGACTGTAACAACTGCACAGCACTGTTATCCTACACCACCTTAACGTTATGTTTGGAGCTAAGAGTGGAAACTGTTAAAAAATGAGAGAAGGAACATATATTAGGACAAGGTAGGTTCTATCTTCCAGAGGAAATTTCAATTTCAAACCGTGCAGGTTTTCAACAAATTATGAGTGCATTATTTTGCACCTGGGTGTGACAGCACACGTTTGAATCTCTACTCTTCTCTGAAATGCCATTTATCTCTATTCATTATTTCATTATATCCACAGTATTGAGTAAATGCTGTATTTTTCTTTTCTTTTTTTTTTTTTTTTTTTGGTCAGGCTTGTTCTGAGGCTCAGCTTGCAAGCTGTGCAAGCACTGAGTGTTTTAGACAAATACTTGACACTCCAATTGATTTTTCTGAGACTTTAAGTAAAAAACAACTGGTTTCTGGTGGTAACTGATCAGTCAACATTATAAGTCCTATTTGCCTGGTGACTTCATCTTTTTCTGGAGGTAATGTGTAAATGAAGCCCTGAAAGTGATGCTGATCAAAAAACTGCCTTCGTAGATGTTGCAATACTATGAACAGAAAATCACAGACAATTTAATATTTTCCATTCCATTTTTAAATTGCAAGTGAGACAAAATCCACATTCTCTCACATTTCTAGCAGTACTTCACCTCCTTAACCCAAGGCCCTAAACTCTCATTCCTACATCTCTTCACACTGATAAACACTCCTCTCCTATAACATATGCCCCTACCACAGTGTTCCAAATCTGTTCTCGCTTCATCCTATGCTTCCACCAAATTAGGTCTTAATTGTGATGAGAAAGACTGTGTTCCCTGTGTCCAGGTCACCTTGCTTGCACATTTTCACCTGGAAAAGCAGATCTCAGCATTTCCTGACTTCCTGCAGGTGCATCTGATCTTGCAAAGTAACGAGGACTACACATTGTACCTATGAAATGGAAAGGCAGACAGTGTGCTGGCCAGTGTGTCTGAACTGCCTGAGAGCTCCCCTGCTTCATGAGGACATCTGGTCTCTTCTGCCATGTGCCATTCACATAAACAAGTAATGAAGCTGCAGTGTGGTGGGAGCATTCTGAGCAGAACAAACTGGGCTCAGCTTAATAAGCTGCACAACACACAGACCAGAAGCAAAAAGATGGAGTAGTCTACTCTTCAAACAGCATGGAGGAGAAGTATTTGAACTAGCTTTAAATGTGTTAGTTCATGTTCTGAAAACCTTCTAGGTATAGAAGTATGAAGCTTAGCCCTGGTAATTTACTGGAAGCAGGGTCAATTAGAGGAGCTCTGAAGTGATGTAGATTAACCAATTCCAGAAGTCAGGATTTCACTCACAGCTAGCTTAGCTATCTCTGTAATGTGCTACATGTCAATGCAAACATGACCCTGGCCTTAAAAACCTCTCAAGTAAACCATTTGCACTGACTCTACTGAGAGATAAAGGCACAGGAAACTTGCAGGCTGAAGCCCTTATTGGAAAACAGGAACCAGATTTAGCCACTGGAACACTGGATTTCTTCAGTGCCAGAAGTGGCAGTGTAGAAGTCCCTCAGACAAGCCTAAAGCTTGGTATAAGAACATTCTTCAATGAGTATACAACCATATTTCACAACCCAAAGAAAACATTTTTAAAACAAAATTGTTCCATTTACTTTTGGTAATAGCAATATAAATTGAGAAGTTCCCTCATGACCTTGAAGATAAATGAAGAATTTTTTGAGAGTACTGCACTGGTGATTTTATTTCCTATTACAATAAGTGGTCCTGCAAATACACGTCATTTTTTATTCATTTTAAGTGGAACTTTATGCTATATCCAACACTGATTGCATGGTATCTGTACATCGAGATCTAATGTTACTACTCAATGTAGGAAATAGCTGACTGGAATGGAGGTCAGATTTGCAGAGGCTTGGAGCAATCTGCAGGATTACTCTGTTCAGTCAAACCTCAGTACCATACTACAAACATTTTCATGTAGCCCATGTGAGGAAAATCGTTCAAGGATTGTTTTAAAATTATTTATTGCAACTGTTTTTGTATCATTTCCATCTTCCAAAACTTACTACTTAGTAAATGAGAGGAAAAACTGAAACTCGTCCACATGGCTATTCTAGGTCAAAACTTGCCACACTTTTATGCCTAATGGCATCCACACAAGCTAAATAAATGATTTAATTCCAGTCCCCTCTCCAAGACATAAAATTCTCACTACTGTGCTTGCATGGCTGTGAGACACTACACTTTGACAATGTGGCATTTTCATATACTGAAAAGCTGTCACCAGCACTGTGGGGTTTAGGCAGGAGGCAACAGGAACTTTAAGAGGAAATGCAGCCTGGAAGGTGAAAAAGAGATATCTTATTCAGTTAGGTGACTCCTGTTGAGTAACTTAGCAATTTGGATCGCTGTGGTAAGATACAGACCTGCCAGTATAGTCTGAACCATTGGAGGATAGTAGGAGGGTGAGAAGTTGCCAAGACATTCTTAGACATGATTAGGGACTGTCACTCTCCCAGTACCTTTTTACAGTCCCAGTACAGGAATGACAAATGCTAAATATGCAACAAACATAGTAAGCACATGACATATGCATTACTACTTATACTACGAGCATGAGGACAGACCAACTAACATGCATGTGTGGTCATTTTTACCTTGGCATGATTATAAATATCCACGCAGTTTTCTGTATTAATGCTTTTTGCACAAATGATCTCACAGTGTCGTTGTAAAGCTTCAAGCTGGAAAAATTTAGCAGCAGAGAGAAGCTAAAAAAATAGGAAAGAAAGAATAGTCAAAACTGCTGAGCAATACACATTCAGAGCTTGATTCTTTACTGCTTCATTATAGTTTTTCTCTGCCCCTGCTTCAGTCTGAGTTAAAGCACTGACCCCTGACAGTCAGTCAGAATGAGAGGGTTGCTGTAGTCTCCTCTAGATCCTGCTGTGAGAAGGTGGACATAGAGGGACCACCACAGCCTGTTCAGGTCCATATGCTGGCCTTGGGACAGGGATTTGTGTGTGTGTGTCAAGAAGAGGCAGATTGGAGAGTCCTTGTCACTCTGCAAACGTGCAAATAGGGATCTGCAGCTACATTCCAGGAAATGAAGGTTTGGATTCAACTGTTCCTCAAGACCTGGCTGAAACTGAACACCTGGGTTTGATGTGAGGATGTCAGCAGAAGGGCCAGGACCATGAGAATAGAAGAATTCAAACCAGATGACAATAACCACCCTAGGTAGTCTTAAAAACCTAGAGAGGCAATAAACTTCAAGCTTCTCACCTCAGAAGGCTCAGGGAAACGGAGTCAGGTGTCCACATGCTCCTTGCTCTATCTCATCAGCAGCAGCAAGGTTATGTCTAGGCGATTGGTCTGAAATGCTACCTGGCTCCAAATGACTGAGAACCAGCTTGATGTGAGGCCACCACTAACATGAGGGTTGTGCATCCGTAATACTACAGTCTTGTGCCATCAGGACTCACATTGACCTTTCTCTTTGGTCCCATGCCCACCCAGGGTAGGCAGCCTGGACTGGCACTGCTCTGGAGATCTCTGCATGGCACAGTGAACATAACCTGAAGCCTGCAGCATGAAAACCTGGCTTAAATTGTGCCCTCTCCAGCTGATTTCCATTGGATTGCCCCTAATGCTCCTTTTCTGTCCTCTTACAGTTGGGGGAGTGAGCTTCATTTTCTGATTTTCTGCAGTCCTCATTGCTTCTGGCTCTCTGCTCTGGTTTAGAAAGCAGACTGAGGTTCTTCACTGCTTTACACCTTGCTCTAACCCAGGAAGGTCCTTTCAGGCTGAGCTGGTCACAGGTTCTGGTGTTTGTAAGGGCTTTACCAACACAGACCTCAGGACACAGTCTTCTCATGATTCCCAGAATGGCCCTTATGCTTCTAGCTAGGAGCGCTGGAGAACAAAACCCTCAAACTGCCATAACATTATTCTTACTTCCCCTATGCAGTCCATTCAAGTTCTGCTTTAGTCCCATAAATAAATCCAAGTGCTGGAAATCTGCAGTGCTGATGTGATAGCAGCCAGCTGGCCTCAATTATGAATTGCAGCAAAGATTTCTTTGGAGTATTTCTGGTGCTTCTTGTTATCATATTTGTAATAAGGCAAGTTGCTAAATGCAGTTTTGAAAGATAAAGCTAAATCCTATTCCAGCTGCCTCTGTGGCTCAAGCAGTCACGTGCTGGTTTGTAATTACTTTAAACTGTGAGGAACCGTAGCCAGATCTGTTATCAACAGATCAATCAATCAGGCATACATTCTGGAGTCACAGAAGTTTTGAGATGCAGAAAAGTAGAGCAAGCAGCCAGCTGAACTGCAGCACCAACTTTTTAACAACCTAGGTGACTATGTATGCATCACTACAAAGCCATTGCGCTTTTTAGTCTGAAACTCCCCTTATTTCAGAAAGGGCCAGGAATTTAAGGAGCTGTTTCAAATCTGTGAATGAGAGAATCAGTGACCTTTTCCTGTACAACTCAGAAAGTCAGTGTGGGTCCACCATCTGCAGTGCACAGGGATGATCTCAGTCCTGACTAGTTTCATCCTCTGGTTGCCAGCAAGATTCATATACGGATGTGCCTGCATCCATCATAACTGCTTCGTTTCAGCCACTTTGTACCCCAAAGAAAAGCAGTTCCCAATTTACAGTTAGCGGCATTTTGGTAAGAGTCAAACCCCACATCAGTGCTCTGAACAGCAGTGTCATAGAGAGCTCTGGGGCTCTTCAGCCTGGAGAAGAAAAGGCTCTGGGGAGACCTTATAGTGGCCATCTACTACCTAAAAGAGACCTACAGGAAAGTTGGGGAGGGACCTTTTGTAGGGCATATAGTGACTGCATGAGGGGAAATAGTTTTAAACTGGAAGAAGGCAGATTTAGACTAGGTATTAGGAAGAAATTCTTTACTGTGAGGGTGGTAAGATACTGGAACAGACTGCCCACTAAGGTTGTGGATACCCCCACCCTTAAGGCATTCAAGACCAGGCTGGATGGGGCTTTAAGCAGCCTGGTCTAGTGGGAAGTTTCTCCGACGATAGTGGGGGGGTTGAACTAGAAGATCTTAAAGGTCCCTTCCAACCCAAACTATTCTATCACTCTATGATAGGGACAGATTAACTCATGTAGGCAATAATAAAAGATCATAGGGGCAGTAGCTCTTATTTTAGCCCTTATTGTCCTGTATCCCTTTTGGCTACCATTAGTTAATTGTCAACAGGAAAGTTCCTGAGTGACTACCACAGATTTGCTCTAATCTATCTTAGTTCTGTTGAATTGGAATTGTTAAGTGGATCAGAGATGGTAATGACAGCATACAGTATCCGGAAGAGAAGGATCTAACATCCATAGAGGTTATGGACATGTGATTATGCTGAAGTTTCAATCGGCTCCAGAGGGCTTGGTGTGGGTACTGCAAATGGGCACAATGGCAATGGACTTTAACACACAGTAAGAAAGTAGCAAATGATTATCTCTGGAAGAAAGATATGAACACATAAGCCTGGGCTAATAAGCCAAAAGTAAGAGTGTTGTAGAGAAGCTCACTGGCCCAACTCAACAGAGCACCTCACCTACAGGCTGAGAGACAGAAAAGACAAAGTATTATGCTGCTGGGAGCTGTTTCCAGATATGCTGCTGAGAATAGTTTCCAGATACTGGTAACACCTGCTTTGCATTTCCTTGAAAGAGCCTCACAAATCATCTCAGTAGATATTTTTATTTCAGACAAACTATTTTGTTTGGTGATCTTTATTTTTCTACCTGGGCACTCTGGGCACTCAGCGGGAGGCAGTGATGTCTCTCACAGGAGTGCTCATGTCTTGCCCAGTTGTCAGGTACCCTTGGGTAAACAGTAAACAGATCATTTAGCATTGTTCTCCCTGAAATTAACCTAAATGTATCTTACCTCCATAATTTCATTGTTTTTAATCAAGAGTGACTCTGCACCTCCATAATACAGATACTGCATAACCAACTGTAACAAAACAAAGGCAGTGTTTATAAAAAACAGTCAACGACAAAGGAAGAAAGGAATGATGTACAGATTGCAGATAACACCAGAGGCTCTCCAACATCACTAAGGATACATAAATAAAACTGGCCAAATCCTCCTAATTTCAACATACGCTTGGTTATTCTCTCTCTCTCCCTGCACAGTTCAATAGTTCTTTCTCGTGGGTATTCTTAACCCTTGCCAGCCATGTTGTCCATGCTTTTTCTTGAAGCCTAAACATTGTGCAGAAAGCTGGTTAATTCATTCTGAGTTTTCAATGTCTTTTCCAATGTGTACAGTGCATCATTTATTCAGGATAATAAAGCATATATAACGATTATTCCTTTATTTCCCCTTGGCAATGGGACCAACACCTCCACTCAGCTGTGGGAGGGCATGCATGGGTGACAATAAATAATTGTGGAGGCTTTGCACTGCAATACGAGACAACTAAGATCTCTCTGCTTCCAGCAGGTTTAAAGTCACTGTAGTGAGCTGGGAAATATCTTCATCTGTAACAGCTGATACATGGAACTGCCTGGGCTCTGACTCAAGGGAAGTGAAGCATATACAAGTATATGCTACAGAAAATACTCTGTATTTTCATGGCAAAAAAAATTGATTGAACAACATTGCTAAAGAAGCAAATGAACTGTGCCTGGAAGCCTGTCCATTAAATACAGAAAAAGTCAGCAAGAGAAAAAAGAACCAAGTACGTCCCGATGACATGCTCTGCTTTATCTGCATACCCTGTATAAGTGAAATGTATGCTACTGAATCTGGTTGGGCATGACATGTGCTATCAATAGCACTATGCAGCTTAGTGTATGCAAGGAGATGGATTCTGTGCTCATGAAACCACTACTCTGAGCTATATGCTTATCAAACATACTTGTATTAGTTCAGACAGGGCACGTACAATGTTTCTATGTTCCATTCAAATTCAATGTGAGAACTGACTTTACCTGAAAGATGGGGTACTTCACATAGTTGATCTCAATACAAGTACTATCAGTTGAGGGCTTGCTAGACAGCAATGCTTTAAACCTAAATAGAAAGGAGCAAGATTGAAATACCAGCCCAATTATCTATGTGGAAAACTATGGCACAGTGGAAGGACAGCATCAGCTCTTGCAAAAACAGTACACTGAAATGAATGGATTTGTCACTGAAATGCATCAGGATTCAGACAGTTACACAAAATAAAGTTCAAATTGAAAGGAAGAAGCCTCTCTTTTAGGAGGTTTCAATTTGAAATTTTGGAAAAATGCTTCTGATACCACAATAGAAAAAATGCATACAGGAGATTCAGATACCGGAAAGATGCATATCACAAAATCAAACTTCTTGTTTTCTTTTCTTTTTTTTTTGCTTGAAGGAAACGTGGTTGTTTAGGAAGTTGCAAATTTAAAACTGCGCACTTACTTTATTTGAAGATCATTTTTTAGCCTATTTATATTATGCTGCTGCAAAAATGTTTTGAACAAAACATTAAAACAACTACATTAAGATTACTGCTTCTACACAGGCTTGATACAATTGTGTAAGAAGTGGTAAGAGAGAAAACTAGGTATGCTACTTTTTCTGATTATCAAAACCTGAAATTCAGACGTAGGTTTCAAGATAAAAACACTTCTAAAGTTAATTATTGCTAGATATTCTCATTTGATTAGAAGGTGAGTGCACCATCAGAAACATCTGCCCTTGTACCCTCTCTTGTCAATAATTCATCTGACCTTCTAGAGGCAGTGCAAAGTTTAGTTTATCTATCAAGACCAGCATTTGCTGGATGATAACCTCTTCCATACTATCACTGCATTTTAATTAAAATATGGATAACAATTGATTTGATCTTATTAGTGACAAACTCTATTTTGAAGGCAATTTAATAGGCTTAGAGCTAAAGTTCGGATTGTGCTTGCACATCTTTAATTATAAAGTTGTGTACAAATACCGTTTGTGAGCAATGTAAAAAAGGAATAGTCTTGAAGGCTGAGATGAGTGACCCACATCCAGCCTTCTGAGCACGGGGAGGAAAACCTAAGTACTGCCTTTTGATACAGCATGACATGTTTTATATGCATCTAATTTTATTTAAAAAAATGTAAAATCCCCAGTGAATCAAGTGATAGTAACTTGTTTCTCCTAGAGATTGTGTACATGGATGCAAGACAAGATTTAGCTGCTCATGGAATAAATGACTATTAAGAAGCAAACTATTAAGACTGCTCTATGTTTAAGGGCTGGATAAAGTGATGAGCTCCATGCAAATGTGCCTTGGTAGAATGAAGTCAGCTGCATGGCGAGAAGCGTGGAGCATTTACAGGGTGGGAATCTAGTGATGGAAGCACTTGTTATTGCCCTGCAGATCAATCAGAAATAGGCTGCTGAGATTTGCTGCTTAGGAAAAACTTGAAGATTGAGCCATTAACCCTCAAAGAATCTTAACAACACTAACGAAAATACAAAAACACAAAATCAATTTCTATTTTTGCTAAGAAACGGAAACGTCTCTACATCTTACCGTGGTGATGCAGTAAATAGCAGCACTCTGTGCGCATAAAATGGTCTTCCTTCCACCAGAAATGTAACATCTGACATCTCTTTGTTGTTAAGAAAATGGGGATCTAGAATTACAGAAAGGAAAAAAAAAGAAACACACCACCAATAAATTTGGTTTGGAAGAGTTCATGAATGTACATAATATTTTCCTGTTTTGACAAAAGAAGACAATGGTGTAAAAGGATATTGTTTGTAATGAGTAAAGCCCATCAAGCTATTTTGGACAGTCTGAGACAGGAGACCTACGGTCAGGCATATGGAGTTCAGACTGAGGAAATTCAAAGTTTTGGAATCTGTGTCATCTTTGCTGAGATGATGGCCAGCCAGTCCTGCCACAGGGAGCTGGCACAGCTTCCCAGCTCTGTTCCCCAAAGCAAACTGCAGAGAAATACCCTCAGACCATACCCTCACCCTCTGCCAGGGCAGGCAAGACTTTGTGCCAAGGGGAAAAGCGTCCTGAAAATTGGCTCACTTCTTCTCTAGGTCACAGTAAACCAACTTGGCCTCTGCCAGCAGGGCTGGGAGTGCCATGCCACCACAATGTCACCCACAGCCAACCGCATGGTTTGAGATATGGACAGACATTTGGCTTCAGGCCCTAGGCTGTGATTTCAGCCTCATTAGCAACTTAGATCTTTGCAGGTTTACAGTCCCACTCCAGTATCTGATGGTCCTACAGATTTCAATGGGAATTTAGGACAGGCTAAGCTCAGGGCCTCTCATTTTTCTAGTCCTGCCTTCCGAGTTCACATTTTCTTTGACTTGTACACTCAGCCTGCAATGCGGATTTCCCATAGCTCTCCTTAGAGAACCAAAGAACCATCTTCAAGTCATGCTTACCTAAGCGAGAGGTCTGCTTGCGCTTAATTTCCACAAGCTTTGGAATGGGGTAGGGTCCATAGCAATGAGTGAAAATGACGGATAGCTGCTGACTTATCACTTCGTTCTAAGCAAAAGGAAACAAACACAAGCAAGATAAACATAGTATTCAAAGGGAGACATTAGATTATTCTCAAGAGCTGTTTGTTTTGAAGCTGAAAAATATGATTGCTGCAACTTTATTAAAAACCAGAAGTTCGGTCCTTATTATAAACCACTTGTTTGTTGCATCCCCTACAGGAAGCAGGTAAAATGGAACATCCTTTCCTTGGACCTTATTTTCCCAACAAACTCAAACTCCACCATCCCTTCCAAATAAGCCATGTTCCTTTGCCATTTCATTTCATTTTCAAACTTACTTCAATGAAAAATACCTTTATGTTGCTCCTTGGAAAATGGTCATTGCTCATGTTTTAGAAACAGCCAGCATACATTTCCAAGCACGACGTCCTCACATACAGCCCTTCCTTTACAGAATGACAGAAGCATCACAGAATGCCACTGAAGCTCCTCATTTAACCCCAGACATGTCATTAATATGATCTTATACCCCTGGCATTGGTTCTCTGAGGAGACCACCAGAACCTCACAGAATCAGATCCCCAGCTCTACCCAGACTAAACTTCAATGACAGTGAAATGAATTTAGTGCTTAACCACCTGAGTCACATCTGATAGCAGGATTCAAAAGTTCTTGCAGATTTTACCCCAGTCTCTGAAGGTAACTGGAACTCATCAAATTTGATGGAGCCACACAGCTACTTCCTGAAAATGAAGTATCTTGACTTTCAGCTACCATGTTGGTTGGCAATTCCCTTCCATACTGGGAAACCATGAAAAAATGAGATGCTTAGATGGTCCAAGACCAAGGAAGTAAACAAGTAAGGAAGTAAAATTACAACAGTATAAACAATGGAGGAGTTTAGATGTTATACTAAAAATATCTTCAGGCTTATTAAGCAGAAATTGAAGTCTTCCTTCTCTGAGCACATTTCAATTCAGTTCTAAAAGTAGAAATTCCTTAAATCCCACAAGGGATGAGGAGGAGTGGCAGAGATACTGTAATAACTCTTGCACCGTATCTAATTAAACAGGGTGGGAAAAGGAAATGAGCTGTGCCTTCATAGGCACACGCTGATGTCAAAGGAAATTACATGCACTCGCCTGCAGGCAGAAGTTGGCTCCCATTACTACATCAGACATAATATTGAAAGAAATATCGGGATAAGAGAGAGATACTAAGAAATACTGATACCAAGAGAGACCACTCAGCACGGCACGGGAGCAGCCACCAGTGAGGGCTCACTGTTGTGGCTCCAGGACAACGCGGATGCAGTGCCCCAGGAGCATCTCTGTTCAGCGTCGGCAAAGCTGGAGCTCTGCAAATCACTTCACAAAGGGAGTGAATCACAGGGAAAAAAAGAAAAGGAAGATTTAAAGCCAGATTTACAGAAGGAAGTGACTCAGCCATTGGGAGGGATGCGGGGAAAGCTCTAGACAGACAGGGCAGAAAGAGCAATTGCTTCTCTGCTCGGAAGGGCTGTGCCGAAGCCGTGCTGGCTGAGTCAGCCAGGGAGGAGCATGTCCGGGGGGATGCCGATTACCAGGGTCTGAGCTGGAGGCAGCAGGCACTAAGATGTCAATAAATACAACACAGGATGAGGCTAATACTGTATTTTGGAGTGAAGGGAAGCTTCTGAAGAGGAGAGGTATAAGAGCAGTGCCTACTTACACATACATATACGTCAAAAAAGACAAAGCATCTCCTCCTCCCTTGGATGCCCGTGGGAACGCACTGATAATAGAACAGATATCAACCTCCCAGTGCCTCATTAGGAGCCAGAGGTCTCACCCACTGCAGACCAGGAAGTCCAGGTGCATTGAGACTGGGAAGGAACAGCCACAGCCGTGCAGGGTTGGGAAGAGGATCCACACTTGTAACTTGAACTGGCATGATGGACGAGTCACATGCAAACAAGCCTGGGGAACCTGTCAGTCTCCTCAGCACAAGATGGGTGATGAGCCCTGCCACAGCATGTGGACCCCAGCCCATTGTACAGCCACCTCGCCACTGACTGCCCACAACCCCATTGAAAACGGGTCTAGATTAAGCTCTAATTAACTCAGAATAGGATACACTCACATAAAAGAGGCTTTAGAACACTATGGTGTAGAACAAAGATGGAACAAAGGGAAAAATGACAAAGGAAAGGGAGACTAGGATCAATGAGTCAAAGGAAACAGGGCTATCAAGCAGGCAGAGACACTATGCATCATGGACCTTCAGAGCTCTCACACAGGACACTGCTTTCACTTGGCAGACAGGAGGCTGGAGACCTTTGGCTTCTGTTGATAGATTTAAGAACACGCTCAGATAGAAAGACAAAGCATTTAAAGTCATCACTAACAAAATATAGCAAGTTTTCTTCCAAAAAGACATGGAAAGGAAGAAAGAACAACTGCTCCCCATGCAAATCTGCACACAGCCAAGTCTCCTAGGGCCTTGGCCCTGGCCCTGCTTCCTGCAGCCTACTGGCATCTCCAATAAAGCAGGCAGAAAGAAACAGCAAGGAGGAGAGATAAAAGGGATGCTTCATCAAGGGTACAGTCTGCAACAGCATTGCTGGGGAAAAAAAATCCTTGCTTTTCCAGAAGCCCGATGTTTTTTTTCTTGGAGCAAGTTGTGGTCGGCTGCCCGTGAAGCAACTGGAAACAACTACAGGAGACAACAACCTGGTACATCAGAATTGCTCCAGCAAAGAAGATGACATTCCACCATATGTGCACCAATATCAAGAAGCTCCAAAGCTATCTTGGTTACTACATCCAACCCACTTAAGCTCTGAACATTATTCTTTCCTGCTTATTCATCACCCTACCAGCTGATTGTGTAAGAACAGCTGTAGGAGCTCTCTGCAGCAGTTGTGGGTGGTGATATCAACACCAGAGAAGCAAACCTGTTTGTTTTCTTGCCATGGTTTGAAGTTAGAAAATATTTTGCCTTGATGCCTGATGCTGAGATCCAGATCAAGGCCAGCTTCCTCTCAGATATGAGCATGCATTTGCAGTCAAAGGGAGCTCCATGTGCATCTGCTTTTATGGGAGGGGGAAGAAAGCTTGGCATAAGATACAATGAAAATATTTACCTAGCCACAGGGTAGTTTACAAATAGGCTAAAGGGAACAGGGAACAACAGTGAATCTTCTTAAGGAGACAATGCTTCCAGCAGAGAGTTGGTCGGTGAGCAAGCAACTTTGCTTTGTAGATACATGCGGCCTCCTGACTTAAAAGCATTCTTCAGAGGAGATCTAACGGAATTCCCCACACTTGAACTGTGAAAGGAATTCATAAATTCTTTTGAAGCAAAGCTGAAGTTTTTCAAATTGCCAGAGCAGAAACAACTGAATGATCTGAGAGGAGGTAAAGAACTGGGTGGGGTATCTTTTCCTGAACGCCCTTCTGATGATGAAGGTCTGGCAGCACAACTCAAGAAAGGCTCCTTAAGACTTAGGCACAACCCATGAAAGAGTCTGCTTCATATCTTCTGACTGGGTTCAAGCTGGCCTAGACATTCTGAAATGTCCTACAAGGTACTGGACACAGCTGGGACATACCAAGTAGTTTTCTCCAGTACCTGCGGAAGATAAGTGTCATCTTGGTGACTCGTGCTACAAAATCTCAAGAAGCAAAACCTAGGCTGGATTCAGAAGTCAGGCTAAGGATTTCCCTTTGCTTTTCCAGCAAGATCACACTTTCCTTTAGTTGCCTCTTCTTCATGGGTTTTCCCACTGATTCTCTCTGGGTCGCTCAAATCTCAGTGTCTAGGAATCCTGACTGGTCTAAGACACCCCGCCACCTCCACCTCAGTGCCTTCTACAGTGGTAACAATTTAGGCTGCTCTTCTTTGCCAACTTAGCCCAAAAATGCCAGGCCCTTGAATTCCTCTACCACAAAGCCACAAAAACAAACACGTTGTTAAGCTGAAAAATAACACTCTAATTCTGGGCTCAGTGTTTGTCATTTAATACATATCTGCCCTGTAAGCAGAGAAAGCATGCTGCTCAGGGCACAGGGGTGCTGGCAAAGCTTTTCTCTTGCTGGTCCTGAGGCTGCTGGGAGAACCCAGCTCTCTGATAAACACAGAGAAGCAGAAGTGCTGCTTCCAGTCACCTGTTCTGCATGTGGTCCTCAGACACTGTTCCAGCAGTGAAGTCTCAAGATGCCTCAGATCCACTGAGGAGTCATGCATGAACTTCCTTCCATAACAGGCTGGGATGCCTTTGAATTATTCCTCTACTTACCCTCCCCTCTTCCCATAAAGAGTCAATAAGTGCTAAGGCAATAGAAAGGGCTTTTCATAGACCTCCCAAGCTCAAGCACTCAAACTCTGCTACGAGACTTTCTTTGCCATCTCTCTGAATCTTTGTCATCCTTCCCTGGGTGCTTCCGCTACAGTTCTCAAGCATAATTCATTTTTTTACCAGCTGCATCCAAACTGATTAAATTCCGCTTTAGAGGGTCACTCCTAGATGATTAAACAGCACACACATAATTCATATTAGTCAACAGTTGCAAAGGTAGGGAAGCCCCAGAGGTTGAAGACACAGTTAGAGGCAGTGAACTGCATAACAAAATGGGTTTTGTTAGTGCCGGGCTCAAGTCATTTCACTGCAAATACAAACGGAAAGGAATTAATCACAGGTAAGGCACAAATGGACCCTTCAGCTAGCTCTGGGAAAGCTGCCAAGTCTTCCTTTCAAAAGACTCTTTATACCACAGCTGTGCATTGTATGTAAAAAGCTGAGATCCCTGGGCACGGTCTAATCCCTGGGTGAGAGCCCATAACAGGGCAGGTGTCACATCCATGGCAGTTATTTATTGTCAATGAAGAAACGGCTCCTGCCTCTGGCAGGGAAACATTTTAGAAGGCAGACGGAGAGGAGGAAAAAAATAAATCAATCCTGTGTTAGTATGAAACTGAATTTGTGTTATGAAAACACAATACAGGGTTAATAGTTGGTTATTAAAATGCCACTTGGTACCTGGCGTTCACATCTCACACGGAGAA